GTACTCTGCAGTCACTAGGCATAGGCCTCTGCTGGGACCTGGGGAGTTCATGCTGATTATCAGCCTTGCCTCCCACCTGGCACCCCTTTATCCCCAGCGGTGGGAACAAGCGCAAGCTGAGCACTGGCATTGCCCTCATTGGTGAGCCTGCAGTCATCTTCCTGGACGAGCCGTCCACTGGCATGGACCCTGTGGCCCGGCGCCTGCTTTGGGACAGTGTGGCCCGGGCTCGAGAGTCTGGAAAGGCCATTGTCATCACCTCCCACAGGTAGCACCTGCATCTCTGTGGATTAGTGGAAGAGCCTCAGTGGGTTGTGGGACAGATGTGGGGAAGGAATGGGAGAGCAAAAGACCTCTCGGTAGCTGGTGCAAAGCCTGCCAGAAGATTCCCAGGCTCTGCACATGAGCTACACTCTGAGCATCGGAATCAGAGACAAGCTGACCAGGGCATTGACAGCCATCTGTCTGCGCAAGCCTTGAACAACAGGGGTGGGCGTCAGCTTCCTCTAGCCCTGTCTTAGGCCTCCACCCTTCTCCCCAGCATGGAAGAATGTGAGGCCTTGTGCACCCGGCTGGCCATCATGGTGCAGGGTCAGTTCAAGTGCCTGGGCAGCCCTCAGCACCTCAAGAGCAAGTTTGGCAGCGGCTACTCCCTGCAGGCCAAGGTCCGGAACGAAGGGCAGCTGGCAGCACTGGAGAAATTCAAGTCATTTGTGGATCTGACCTTTCCAGGTGTGTGCTGGACCACTGCCTGGGCCTGTCAGCTGCTGTGCAATATGTGCCTCACCCCACCAAGTCCCACATCCCTGACCCCTGGGACGAGGACCACCGTCCTGTGCACCAGGCCACCCTCCCCACCCGTTCAGCCTGGTCTCACGGGAACATGGTCTCTCCTTTGTGTAGGAAGCACCCTGGAAGATGAACACCAAGGCATGGTCCACTACCACCTGCCTGGCCACAACCTGAGTTGGGCAAAGGTGAGCACAGACTTGGCCCCTGCTGGATGCCAGCAGCGATTAGGGAGGGTCCCCCCACCTTTTGTTGGGTTGGAAAGAAGTCAGAGCAAAAAAAAGAAAGTGGCTTAGAGAAGAGAGTTTGCCGAGGTCATACTGTGAGCTGGAAATAGTCAGGAGGAAGCTGGACCCTCACCTCGATGCTCCTCATAGTTAGCTCCCTGGAAACTCAGCTGACCTTGTGGGACTGACCTCCCAGGGGGTCTGGAGTGGAGCTGGGCAAGGGTGGGACCTTGGGGGCTAGAGAACTTGCTGACCCAGCCAAGGAGGATAGGTCCTGAGTTCTCTTACCATTGGCTTCTGCTTCTTCTGAAGGTTTTTGGTATCCTGGAGAAAGCTAAGGAGAAGTATGGAGTGGACGACTACTCAGTGAGCCAGATCTCGCTGGAGCAAGTTTTCCTGAGCTTCGCTCACCTGCAGCCCCCCACTGCTGAAGAAGGGCGATAAGCAGCGATGAGGAACATCTGCTGCCTCCAGGGAGCCAGGCAGAAACGGGACAGGATGGTGCAACAGCTGCATATCCTCTTCCTCTGAGTTTCTCTTACACTTTTATTTTTAATCACTTTTTTTCTGTGATGGACATGAAAAAATCAAGGTGTTGTACACAGAATGGACCAAGTGTGTCTGTGCCCTCACACAGGAATTAGCATGCAGATTTCTACTCCTGAAGGCAGGCTCTGGGTCACCTGTTTCCAGCTCCAGAGCTAGCCAGCAGCGTGTGTGATCAGCCGCAGGTCTGTGGGTGGAGAGCTGTCCCAGGTAGGACTGCGGCTAAGCTGGGGGTAGGATGGTTGAATTTCTCTCTGTGTTCACACAAAGGACCCAGGGACCTATCTACATTTACACGACTTTTGTGTTCCCCTCGGGAGGAAAATAAAAGCCACCGTTGGGCCGGGGATTTCGCTCAGTGGTCCCACCGCCTGCCTCACGAGCACAAGGACTAGAGTTCAATCCCTGGTACCAAAAAACAGCCACCAGGGATGAGCTGTATCAGGCTGCCAAAAATGGACATAAAAGGTGCAAATGACCATCCATGAAGGGAAGTTGTCAGCTGTGACTAGGTGCTGAGACCTTAGCTTCTAGTGCAGCCCCACAGGCATCCTTGGAGTCAGTGCTCCATATGTATGAGTGCTTTGCCAGGCTAAGCTGACCGCAGCCTGGGCATTGCCCCCAAGCACCATCTGGAAGCAGTGGGCACAGGGAAATGATGGCAACAGTTGGAGCACAGTTCTCCATTCCCACCTCTGTACCTTCAAGACATCACCAGCCACAGGACAAGTCAGGGACCACTGCAGGGCTGAGACACTAAACATATTGTGACTGTCCAGAAAATAAAGGATAAGGGAACGTGGTCATAGTCTGTGAATCATACGTGTATATGGGGGAGGGTTGTGGGGCTCTGATCACTTTCCCACAATCCTAATAAAAGCTCTCATACCAAGTTTCAAACAAATGTAAACAGGAATTTGCTTTTCCCAATAGGGAGGAAACTTAAAAGATCACTGTCATAAGGTAAAGGAATATGCCCAAAATACAGTGAAAGCAGTCAGATCAGTGCCTAGCTGACATCCTTAGTCTACAACCAAGGAAAGAGAGCTGGTTGGTGCAGGAGACTACAGACCTGGGTAGGCAGGAAGCCTCTGGCTCTGGCATTACACATTACCCATGGATATGAAGTTATTTTCCAGAAGTCTCTTCAGCATCAGTCCCTTTCTTTGCACACGATTGTTTCTTATAGCTTTCTAAAACTTTATGATCAGAATCTCTGCATTTTACATTCCTTTAGAATCCATAATTTAGCCAGGAATGGTGGCACATGACTGTAATTCCAGAACTCAGGAGGCTGAGACAGAAGGATTGCTCAGTTTGAGGCCAGCCTGAGCTACATAATCAGTTGAAGGCCAGCCTGAATTATATAGCAAGACCCTGTCATAAAACATCTATTTTCATAATGTTAGATTTGTTTTCATCATTTTGGCTCATTAGGGACTTCACATTTATTTTGGGGTTTTTTTTTGGGGGGGGGGGCTTGGTGCCGCTGACGGAGCTCGGGATCTTGAGCTTGTAAGGCAGACAGCAGAATCACTGAGCTAAATCTCCAGCCCCTTTACATTTGTTTTTGAGACAGAGTTTTTTGGTTATTTTGAGATAAGTTCTCTCTGTAGTTCAGGCTGGCCTCAAATTCGCAGCAATCCTACTGCCTCAGCCTCCCCAGTGCTAGTATTATGCACAATGTGTCAGTGTGCCTGGCTCCTCAAATTTGTTTTTATCATTCTAAAAGTTTAAAAAAGCAAATAGTTTCCAGTAGCACTCTTACTCCCTTTAGAAGTCTTCAAATTATTATCAATGAGTTCCACACCACAGAAACTAACAGGAACAGTGGTAGCCTAAACACAGCTCAAGAGAAAACACCTGGCAGTGTACCCTCTCACTTGTCAGCAAGGCTGCAGCCTCTAGGTGCAGGCCTAAGGCTACATCCAGGTTGGATTTGTGGGATTAGAGGAAGAGAAACAGGCCACTGAATGCATGTGGTTGTTTGCCCATAAATCATCCCCAAAAGTCCTAGGGCAGGTATCCTTGAACTTGACGTAAGCCCATGTGTAGAGATTTAGGTAGGAATCATTTTTCTCCTTTGATACCATACAAAATGTGTGGCAAAAGCTGCTTAGGCCCAAGAGAACAGCCTATGGGATCACACACAGGTGAAACCAGCCTGCTTCAGTAAGACCCGAGGAGCCTGGCCACCCTTCATAGGGTGGGATGAAGCTACCAGCAAGGGTCTTAAGTGAGGAGCCTTTTAGGAAGATGAATGTGGAGGGGACAATGCAGACAGCCCAGGCCACTGCGTGGGAACATCCAGAAGAATCTGGGTGTCTGTGGGAAGAGTCCAAGCCTGTATGTAAGAACAAAGCTTGGTCAGCTACAGGAGCAGCCCAGTTAGAAGGGACCCCAGAGCATCAGGAAGGTTTCACATAGTTCCCAGGGGTATCTTTAGGGCTGGACACTCGGTGGTGAGTCATGAGAAATAGAGCCAAGATGGGCGTGGTGGCACATGCCTATAATCCCAGCACTTGGGTGGCAGAGGCAGGATCACTGTGAGTTGCTACACTGGGCTACATAGTGAATTCAGAGCCAGCCTGAACTATAAAGTGAGAGTCTGTCTCAAAAAAAAAAAAATGAGACCAAGCAGGAACCCACCCCTATTACCTATTAGTACCCCCAGTCGACTTTATATGAGTTACATTTCTTTGGGGTGGGGCGGACACACAAAGCCTCACCAAGTTGCCCAAGCTAGGCTCAAGATTGCAATCCCTCTGGGATTATAGGTGTGGTACCACAGCCCAGCTCCATTGGCTTTTTCAGCCGTGGGAGGGTAGATGAAGCGTGGACTTGAGAATCTGGCCTGCCCACCCCTTCCTGTTTCTATTCCTCCAGACTACCAGGGCCCAGGTGACTACAGATGCTGTTTCTAGATTTTTTTTTTTCTCATACTGGGGATCAAACTCAGGACCTTGTACTTGTGAGGCAGGCGCAGTGCTACTGAGCTAACTCCCCGCCCTTGTTTCTAGATTTGTTGCTTCTCCAGGCCACATAGTATTACCCAGGGACCCAGCTGCTACTCCACTTGCAGCTCCTGTGAGACCCTGGAGATGTCATTCTGCTTCTGCTGCTCCACATGGCTCTCTCTTGGGCTGAGGACAAGGCCTGTGGAACAGCATATGTGTAATGTCCTTTGTGTTCTGTCTGGTCCGACTATAGTTCAACTGAAACACTCAGACACTATCACTGCACCTAGAATTTGGCAGGGTACTACGACAGAGCGTGGACAGGACTAAGAAGATCTCCCACTGCCTTTTCCGGTTTAAAGTGGAAGGGATACCTCTACCCTAGGGGAAGGAGGGACCTGGCCAGCCCTCAGGCAGCTCAGATCACATGAAAGGAAACCTACCTCCAGACCAGGCTTGCTGCATGGATCAGAAACCCGAGATCACAGTGGTTTAAAGACAGAAGTTTATTTCATGGCATATATGAGATCCAGGCAAGGCAATGTGGGGCTGTCACCTCCATGGTCTCAGGGACTAGGCTCCACCCACCTGCTCTGCCATTCAGGTAGGGGCTTCTTTCCTTGGGTCATCTCTGAGTCTGGAATAAGGAAGGGAAAAGGAAAGTACATTTGGCTAACCAGAATCCTTCATGCAGTCGTCCCACTGCCCCCATCACAAAGAATAAAGACATACGGCTATACCAGTTAAAGGAAACCGAGATACCAGGGCACGTCTAGCAGTCTCCACCACAGAAGGCAAGAGTCCCCCCTCCCCACACACACCAGCATTTCCATCTGAAAAGGGACCCTTTATCACCTAATGGACCCTCATGGCCTGGGATCTGGGCAGGCAGGTGAGGGACTGAGGCTGTGGGGTCTCACCTAGGGAGCAGCGGCCTGCCTTCCTCCTCAGCCTATGGGGCTGCCCAGGCCCAGCTCCTGGGATCTGGCCCACACCCCACAGATGCTAGTGTCCAAGGCTTCTGGTTTTTGAGCTCCACAGCACCTGCTCTGCCACAGGTCTGCCCACTTAAGTCAACACCACAACTTTACCTCCAGCTCATCAGCTCAGCATCCAGCTCTCACCAGTCTCCACCCCATTCTCTATGAGTCCACTGTAGGGGCACAGCCCTGGTATCTCCACCCTTGATTTCAACATGCCAAAAACAGATATATGGCCCAGCATGGTGGCACATGCCTGTAATTCCAGCACTGGGGAGGCTGAGGCAGGAGAGCTGCTGCAAGTTCAAGGCCAGCCTGAACTAAAGCGAGTCCCTGTCTAAAAAAAAAAAAAAAA